CTAAAAAAAAGGCCCTCTGAGCACTAAGTAGATTCTAAGAGTTGGCAATGGGAAAGGAGTGCCTTATACGGCAGCTTGTGCCAAGACTCGAGATGGAATGTGGAGTACCATGTAGGAGGAATGGTAAGAAGTTTTCTGGACTGCAGTGTACTTGAAGGGAAGTAAAGTATAATTAGGATGGAAAAGTAGACTAGGGCCCGGTTGTGAAACTTTTAAAATTGATTTGTATTTCTTTGGTTATGTTGTTTAGATTTTCCCTTGTTATCCTTCCCTTTTGCCCCTGCCAGAGGATTTTTTAAAAAGAAAAAATTATTAAAACCATTCAACGCATCGAAAAACTCTGATGTTATGTATAATGTCCCATGTCCATTGACTTCCACCTCTGCAAGGCAGGAGAGGTGTGTCTTCTCATATCTCTTCTTTGGAGCCACACTTGTTCCTTATCATTTCACAACATTGTTCTTGAAGATTTTAAAATGCAAAACAGAAGAGGTAATAGGGAGGACTGGAGTTGAGTGTGTGGAAGAACAACATGATCATTCTTATTTTCTGGGTAGAATACAGGGGGATTATCATCACTACCAACTCAGGTCAGGCCAGTTCAGTTCTAGGTACCATATTTTGCGGAAGGCACATTTCAGGAAGGATGTAGAGGAGGGCAACCAGGATAGTGAAGGTGCTTGTATTCATGTGGTATGAAGACTGGTTAAAAGAACTGGGGAATTTTCACTGGGAAAAGAAAAAAAACTCAAGGGATATATAATACATACCTTTAAGCATTTAAAGGGCTGATAGTCCCATCAAGTAGAAGGAGGAGCAGGGGGTAGAAACTGGATAGAAGCAAGCTTCAATTTTAGGTAAAGCCAAACTTTTCCCAAATTACAGCCACCCAAAGAGAGAAAGGGCTGCTTCATAAGGTTCAGAACTCATTGTAGGTCTTCAAGCATAATCTAGATGACCACTTGTTTGGAATGTTGAAGAAAGGATTCTTGTTCAGATGAGTTAGCCTGTAGGGACTCTGGGGTCACTTTCTAGTATCGAGACCCAGTTGAGTCCATTTTATTTTTTTTTGGAGGGGGACTGTTTACTTACATAGGTATTATGCATCACATTTATTGAGGGGAAATAAATTGGCAATGGTACTAAAGGTTCTTTGGTTTGAATTCTCATGGACTGGGCTCCATCTTTATGGCCCTTTACCAGGAATAATTCAGCCCCCAATCACTATTTAGCTCCTGGGGAAATCCAAATTTGGCTCATGTCTCTCTAAGAGCCCTGTTCTCTCTTCCCCTGTTGCTCTTGCAGGGAGATGACAAGGAATCCTTATTCATTTCTTCCTTTTTCCAAGATTTGAAAAAAAACCAGTGCATTTTAAAATTTTACTTCGAAATGATGTTGCAATTTTCTGTCAGTATTTTGGATTCATGCCACTTAGAATAAATATTAGCTGCAAATTAATCCAAAAACATTTTGAGCATATGAAGGCATTCATCTTCCCACCCAAGGGCTAAAACCAACTAGTATATTTTACAGTCTTTGTTACCAAAACACTGTTCTAGAAGATAGATTTCTAAGAAACTGGGATATACATACTCAAAAATAATTGTATATTTAGACCATGATCCGAGGGACATGTGATTTGTGTAACAGAATCATAGGTCAGTGATGGAAGGAAACTTAAAGACCAAACTCTGGTCCAGCCCGACATTGTTCAAAATCTCTGGTTGTGAGTTCACATGGATTGAGTTCCATCATTGTGGCCCCCTCCCAGCATTAGTTCCTGGGAAAATCTGAACTTGGCTCATATTGTTCTAAGGGCCCTGCTCTCTATTTTCTTGTGATCCCTGTAAGCATTGAGTTTAAAAAAAAAACAATTGAAGGAAGATATCAGGTTTATTAATGGCAGGAATAAAACAAGAACAACAACAAAAAAAATAGAAGGGACCTTTCAGTTTAAGTTACATCTTCCCAAAGTTCAGCCCCGGCCCTGGCAACTTGCAGTCCAGCAATTGTTGTCCAAGCCAGTTTTGTTCACTCATTCCTCTCTTGGGCTCTACTCCTGACCCTCTCGATTTTTTTCTCAACCATGCCTCCATGTGAGTACTTTACCTTCTCTCTCCCCTCACCCCCACCTCACCTTTCAGCTTCCTTTTATATCTTCTCCCCCTTAGAATGAAAGCTCTTTGAGGGCAGGGACCATCTTTGTTTTTGCTTGTATTTTTATCCCCAGCACTTAGCCCAGGGCCTGGCACATAGTAAGCATTTAATAAATGCTTATTATCTTGGCACGGACTTTGTTTTGCATTCTGATGCACTTACATAGTATCACATATTATTGCTATTTTTGGTGTCATTTCCCTCTCAAACCGAAAACTCCATCAGGACAAGTCTGTTTATATCATATAGCCTTCTATCTATCCCAGTGCCTAACACAGTGCTTTGCACAACAGTATTATGTGTCAAATCAGTGGAGCGAGTTTTTTCCCCTCTCTCTTCCCTACCTCATGTAACCCCACACTGGGATATATTATACAGGTTTACGTGGCTCAGAATTTCACTCCTTTGGTCAGATCTTCCCAACCACTTGAGCTAGATTCTAGAAGGAATGTTTCCAGGCCAAGAAATCCTAGTCAGTGAGCATGCTGATGTCACAGGAAGGAAACATAGTTCTTTTGAGTGCCTGCCATTAGTACACTGTTGACTGTTCTTCGTTCTGGAAGAGGACAAACATAATATCATTATGCTGGGTCAAGGTACAGTATGTCCAACTGTGGCTGATCCGATGAACACAAGTTTGGAAGGCTCTGTTATAGGACAGGCACGAATAGTCCAGATTAATATTTGTAGTGAAGAAGTCTCTAAATTTGCACATCTCAACTTTCTTTTGAGCTGACAACTCCTTCTTTGATGCAGGCACACCATGCTGGACGGTCCTTTGCTAGTGTCTCTCATGTCTCACAATCGATTCCAAAGTTCTTCAGAGAGACCTTGAGAGTGTCCTTGTATTACTTCTTCCATGTGAGTACTTGCCTCGAGTTCTCCATAAAATAGTCTTTTAGGCAATCATACATTTGGCAGTCAAACAACACGATTAAGCTTGTTGGAGTTGTCCTCTCTGTGGCAGAGATTGAATGCTTGGTAGCTCAGCTTCAGAAAAGACCTTGGTGTCTGATACTTTATCTTGCCAGGTGATCTTCAGAATCTTCATAAGACAATCTGAATGGAAGCAAGTAAGTTTCCTGGCATGACATCAGTCCACCGTCCAGGTTTCTTTGGCATACAACAATGAGGTCAGCACAATGGCTCTGTAGACCTTCAGTTCGGTAGACAGTCTAACACCTCTTCTCTCCTACACTTTGTTTTGGAGCCTCACAAACACTGAGCTAGCACTGGCAATGCGTGCATCACCCTCATCCTCTATGTGTCCATTCCTGAAAAGTATATTGCCGCAGCATTGAAAATTTCTCCATGTGCGGTAACCACATGGTTTCACGTATGGATGGCATGGTGCTGCCTGGTGGAGAAGTTCAAATTTTCTTTGTGTTGTTAGGCCAGAATTAGCACAAGTAATAGAGAATCAATCCATACTTTGCTGCATCTCGGCCTCAGAGGCTACATTGACTGAACTATCAAATATGGATTATAGACAGGAAAATGACAAAATTATCTCATGTTTATGGCTTCCAAATAAAATTTGCAAATAGGTGATATAGAGGGGGGTAGTAGGTTGCATGCAAGAGAAAAAATGCCAAATCCACCCAAAACATTGAGACAGAGAAAATGCCTCCTTGTGGTTTCCCCTCCCCAACTCTCTCACCTTTGTACCTACACAGCCTATTAAATCGTGGGATTTAAAGTCTGAAGTTCACTTTGAAATCATCTCCCTCCTTTTACAGATGAGGAAACTGAGGCACAAAAGTTTACTGAAGTATTCCAAAGTCAGAGATTGGACCGAGGTCTTCTCAGTCACAATCCAGTATATCACACCATCTTAAAACTGCTGGTGGATGATGTACTCTGTGAGATGGAGGATGCTATCTTTCTGCATATCACTGGCCCCTCCCCTATATGACTATCAATAGTTTAATGTTTTTACTTCATGAGAACTCAAGAAGTAGTATAATGTAATCACCACAGAGAACTAACAGTCAAAGTGCCTCAATTCTAACAGACTGGCCATTTACTCGACCTTGAGTAAGTCATTTTACACGATCCCAAATTTCTTCATCTGTAAAAAGGGGCCAGTCATGGGCCCTACCAGCCTCAAAGGATTATTGTGAATACCAAAGAAATCATATTATGTTAAAGTGTCTTAAAAATGGCAATGCACCATTCAAGTAGATACCTTTAAAGAAAAGCAGAGAATCAATGGATTTTAGTTCCGACAGGGAATTTAGTTGATTTCCTATCCAAATAGGTAGGTTTTCAGAATTTGCAGGTTTTCATATCTTCTAAGGGTCAATATTTTAAAATGGCCATAAAGAGATAAAAAATTCCATATGAAGATAGAAGCTTAATAGGTAAGTTCCTAGAATGCATCGATTACATATATTTTAAGAAATCTGCACCAGTATCTCCAAAAAATTCTTGCTATGTACATGGAATTTGCTTTCACAAAGCAAAAATATCTCAATGGACATAATTCATATTGTAAGCAGCTTCTTACATAATTCAGCATACTATTTACTGCATGTGCCAGCTTTATTGATTAGGATGGTAGCATGGAAAGAGGAAAGAAAAAAAATGGTCTACATTCTTGATCATTCAATGAACTTTACCATTTCTTCCTTTTCTCCATAGTCTTTGACTGCACACAGACTCAATTTAAAACAAACAAAAAAAATTCTCAAATCAATAAAAGCATATTAAAAAACATATCTTTAAATGTGAAACATTGGGAAAGACTTTCTGAATTTTGGATAAACATTTTTAAGTCATACCAGCTACATAAAACCCTTGGGTTTCCATTATTCAGCAATAATTAAAATGATTTACATGTGTTCAAGATTTTACAAAATTATTTATTTTAATCAGCAAGTTCTGGTCTGAAAGTTCTGGCTCAGTTTGTGCTGACTGTGTGATTATACTAACAAAAATCATTACAAATAAAAGCGTGACTGTGTTTACATAATGTATTTAGCTTTCAATAGTCAACAGAATATCGTATTCAGTAGTTATGTTTGCTATGTGAATTGCATTAGCAAAATCATGTCTATAATGTTTCCTCAATCCAGCCCTTCCACAAATTGTTTCTCTTTTTGCAACAGCCAACCTTGGAAAATGCTTTTCTGGAAAGCATAAAAAAAACAAAGTCAACTATTCCCATCCAATATCACTAAATAACAACTGCTGTTTTAATAAGAAATGTTGGCAAGTATTGCATGGTATTTATTGCTTCATATCCCTTATATATTAGGACATAGGACATCATTTGCAAAATATAGATGAAAGAACAGATTATGATTGGGGTTTTGAGACAACCTTTATAATGTGTGGTTGTGTAGCTTACATATAACATTTTTCACTCTTCAAAAGTCAGGCCAAAACACAAATCAAGGGGAGCATCCTCAACATCTATAGAACCAATAGCTCTTCTTGTGTCTCTATTATGGTAATACTGCCACTGGTATTTTAAGGTAAAAGCACTCCATGCCTCCTGAGGATCCCCACCCACAGATGATCTTCCATCTATTTCACATACATCTATGTGGACACATCTCTCTGGTAGAATATAAGCTCTTAGGGGGTTTTACCTTTATATCCCCAGTGACCAGTACACAGCTGATGAATAATAAAGGCTTGATGGACTGACCCATGATTCTCTTGGGTCAAATGTCCATTTGAGATCAAAGCAGCCGTAGTCCATTCTGTTCAATTATGAACCATGCATTCCTTTTCATTTTCATCTCCAAACACAGCAACACACACCCCTATATTACAGTTTTAGTCTTAGGATACATACAGATAGATACAACTTAAACGGAGACTATCACAGCTAGTTTTTAGCTAACATTTAATACTGCGTGTTCTCATTTTTCTTTTGAATTGGGCAATGAAAAGACAGAACTATTTCGTATAGTTTGAAAAAAATGAGACCCCCCAAAATTGAAAACAGACAAAAGAGATGGGCAATGTTCTTTTACTACAATAATTAAATTTGTTCTCCAGGAAGGGAGAGATCCTTTTTTCTACCATTAGTAAACTTTAGCCATATCAGAATTTTTATTATAAACTTACACTTTTTTTCCCCTAACATCTGTACTGAATTCCTACTGATAACTTTCAAAATATGTTATTTTTTCCTCTGATGACTTTTTTTTTAAAGGCAATATAAATAGGACATCAGATAAAATTAGAGTTTGAAGAAAGAACAATTTTAATTTGGATCACTGTGCCTAAGATTTTTTAGGAATGAATTTTCTAATATGGTATTTCACCTGTAAAAAATCTTTGGTATCACTGAATTCAAAGCAACTCAAATATGTGAAGACAGAAACTCTTTACTGTTTTGGAACCCCAGGGTGTCATGCATGAATTATTTTACCTAAAGTTTTGTTAAGTTGTGTCTAGAGCTTCAACTGGTATTCAGAATGACCAAAATCTAATTTTATTAATTTGTCATGCTCTGAATTACTATCAGCTGTTAATGGACTGCTGTATGCAGCGATCCCTTTATCCCACAATGCCTGCCTCTGAAAAAGAAGATGCATTATCTAGCCTATGTGACCTTCATAAATTATATATATATATATATATATGTGTGTGTGTGTGTGTGTGTATATGAGACAGCTGTACCCTACTTGATGGTTCTGTCGCCATAAGGTCACTCTGCTCTTTCCAAAAGCACAGTCAGATGAAACAGCTTCATTAAACGTGCTCTGTACATATAATACTGGTCCCAGCTGACACCCAGTCCCAGCGGGAAGTATGCGATTTTCATCTTAACTGTCACCACCAAACTATCAAATTCTCATGATGAGTCTGGCTGGTTGCATACTACCTCAATCCCCTGCTCTTCAAGGTGAATACAGAGGACCTTTCACATATATAACAGATTGTATGCAATATATAAATATACATATATATGTACATATATGTATATATGTGTATATAAACATTCACGAAAAGCATTACTGATATTATCACAGCAATAAATACCCTTTTAAAATTACTGGATGGATGAAAGGAATGCCATCTGGTAACTGAAGCACATTTGCAAACATTTAAATTATAAATATAAATAGATATACATACATATCAATAAAAACAGCTTTAAATCAAAGGACAACACAGCAAATATCTTCATTACAGGCAGCCTGTTATACTGCCTACAAGGAAAGAGTAGAGAAAGGATCTCAATTCAAGGCAGCTAAGCCCCATAATATAGAAAAGATTGTACATCTTCACAGCCCCTTGTGGAAAAGGCATTCCAATTCTATCCAACAAGAGTCTGTGATGACAATCTACTAGAAAAGGGCTTCAATTTTACTTTAAAGAGCTGCAGTTATTTGAATTGTTGTGGTGGGCACAAACAAGCTAAAGAGATAAAAGGAATCTGTTTTGATAGCAATTATAATATGGTTACACCAGAGAAAGGTGAGTTATATTTAACTGGTGGCCAACATGTGCTGATCATCACTTTAGCCCAACATTCACAAAAGATGGGATAAGAAAAGGAAGACCATTTTTGCTATCAAGTCACCTGTTCATGGGTGACTGATACTGCAATCTCTCACTTAAAAAAAATGACATTCACTTGCTAAACTCTTTAGTAACCAAAGGGGAAGGGACTTGCCCAATCCCAATAACTAATTTCCTCTAAAGTTATTAATCTTTTGGTACCTGGGAGATAAGTTCCATTCCTTATACAATGGTGAATTAAACGGAACATGAGAGTGTTGCTATTGAAAAAGTAAACGGCTACTTAGAAGGTTTACATTTTAAAAGGTTGTGCAGAGCTTGTACTTTGGCTCACACCTTTGATTGGCCTATGCACATTACAACAGTCATCCAGATAGAAATGATTTGCGTACGTGTGTGCATGGGCTTGGGGGGTGGGGATGAGGTGAGTGCTAAGATGCTGAGGGGGCATTAGGAATATGTTGATGATAATTAACCTTTCATTTAAGAATAACATCCCCCTCCAAACAAAAATGCCTTTCCAACTGACATTATCATCAATGGTTAAAAAAGTTCTGGACAAAGCCAGAGGTGGGAGGTGCTAGCACTGGAATTATGCACTGATGGCTGTATTTCTCCTGAAAGGTTGAAACAGTACTGGGAGTCAGAGATAAGGGTAGTCCTGCAGAGCTCAATGAAACTTCATTCCTAACTTTCAAGCAGAGACAACACCTCCACTTCATATTCTTTAAGCACCTGCAGCTCAAAGATAATTGAGTCCTTTTCTAGATACTATACCTTCTCATACATACCTCCATGAGGTAGGTAAAATCATACTCATTTTACAGCTAGGCAGGCTAAGGCCGAAGCCTAAGTTACAAATAGCAAGACTAGCAATGATGTCAAGAATCACACCCCTTGAGTCTGCTCATCCTCCTTACAGAAGCAGGCAATGCCAGGAAGTCTAATCACTAGACAAGGTCTGCCAAGGCAGTATCATATAAGGGACAGTCACACAAAACCAGCCATCATTAGAGGAGGGCAGAGTGTGTGTGTGTGCGCGCGCACACACACACACACACACACACACACACACACATTCCTAAAAGGAAGTGAACATATCATTAGTTTCTTTATCAGGTGATAATTAATAAATTCTTGGTGAACTGTTAGGTAGTTCCTATTTACTTAGAGGACTAAGACAGCTGGAGCTTTTAAAAAGAGGCCACAAACACTTATGACTACAGAAAAGAGTGAAAAAAAGGCATCCTTTTATCATACTGTTAAGACCAAAACAGGGGCACCCCCAAATATTATCTGAATCAGGGATATAAGCCTGGCACTTACACAGCCCATACTCTACTAAACCTTTCAATGATCTTTTGTCAAGCAGTAGAATTCCAGTCCAATTATTTCCGACATTCTCAGTTTCACACCATTCTTTGTCATAGGTAAAGCATCTGTATGTGTCAGAAGTAAACAACACAACAGGATTGGAAGTAATGGGCCTATCTGATAAGTGTAGTCTGAATGGCTCTGTGCACTATTACAAATGGTTCAGTGCCCCAAGAAGCTTTCAATATGATGGTGACAATATGATCGAGACCGACAGACTGTCCAGTAGTCTGAGGTCTTTTCAGGAAATTCAAGACATTTGAAAGTTGCTCTCCAACAGGGGACGCAGACACAAAACCTCTCCTTCCTTTCACCTTGAAATACCAGTATTTCCACTAGATATGCACATACAAATTTAAAACAGTGTTACACAGTGCACAGTGACCTAACATTTGCAGATTGTTTATGTGCCTGAAAATATAATGTCAATAAAAAAATATCAGAGAGGTGGGGACAAAAGACCTTCTCTGAATTCTATACAGCACAAATGAATTTCAATTCAACAGGCAGCAGGCCATGAAGAGGGAGTCATCCTTGGAAATCAGCAGTATTACAAGATGGAAGGTCATAGATCTGGTGATGGGGGATAAGACGCATAGTAAGGCCCGTTTTCCTGTGGAAAGAAACAAAAAGGCAAAAAAAGATTTACAACATTAAAAGTGGGTCTCCTTTAACATCTGTGAGCACAGAGGGAAAAGTGTTTTAAGACAGAATTAAAGACAGAACAAACTATGTAGTGACTTAGCTCAGGATTGTGAAACCCAAATTTCCTTAAAGGGAATCTAAGAATCATAACTGTGCTGGCAGACTGCTGATGCTCTCTTGCCACGCATAAGGAGCAAGGCTTGTTAAAGTTCTCAGGTCATTCGGTTCAAGATGGAGAACTGCATGCCAGGCCTTTAATGTCTAAGGAAGGCAACATAGTTCCAGAGTGACTATCTGGCCCACATTTTTTCTAAGTTCGTTCTGATAAAAACCAAGAAAGTTAATTTCAATGGTTTTAAGTTAATTAAGTTCCCAAAGCCAATAGGCATCAAGTCCCTCAATGAGGTTAATGGGACATTAGACTATTCTGTAGTTTCTAATTTTTTTTTTCTCCATAGAGTTCATTTTCATTAAGCCCTAAGGTAAGGAATGTATAACATTAAGTTAAGACTTGGGAAGAGAGATGGGGGATGATGTTTGAATGAGATATTTTATGGTAATTAAGGGATTAAAAAAAACCTTAAGCTAATGAACTATCATATACTTTGCACTAGATCCACTGAAGCAGGGATAAATACTGGTCCAATTCTAGAGGAACAAGTAGATGTTGGGGTATTAGAGTCTAGGAATTCTTGGTTTCTGAATATAAAAGTGCAAAGGATCTAAAGATTTTTCCTTTAAAGTCAAGTGAAGTCAAATCCTAAACTCTGTTATATTTTAAAAACTTAAATAATCTATAAAAATAATCCTTTGCACACTGCTGTAAAGAATTATCGTTTTTACTCCTGATTCAAGTTTTATTCTCCTCATCACATCCCTCACCTCTCCACAAAGATTATAGAATCATAGAATGTTAGAAGTGGAAGGGGAGGGGAAGAAAGAGAAGAATAATCTATATCACACCTACTATGTGCCAGGAACTGTGCTTAGCATCTTTTACAAATAATACTTTATGATATTTCATTCTCTAAGGAGGGGACTTTAGGCCTCACCAAGTCCAACTGACTTATTTTACAGATGAGGAATATGAGGCCTTGAGTTTAAGGGCCTAGCATACAGTCACAGAGTTGAACAAAAAGAAATTTTTTTAAAAGCCAATATTGGTCATGGTCAGGTAAATCAATTTTAAGCCTCCTCTGAAAACAAAAGATTCACTTCTCCCTAAGCAAACAACAAATATTTACTAAGCACCTGCTAAGAGAAAGGCACTGTGCTAGGTGCTGAGGATACAAAGCCAAAAATAAAACACTTCCTGCCCTCGAGGAGCTTATGTTCTATTGCTCACAGCCTGTATTTATACAGTGCCTTAAAGCACCAGAAGCTTTCCTCATAATAACATACTGAACACCTCATAGGTGAGTGATGACCAGCAGTCAGGTGGGGACACTGAACCTCCACTTCTCCAAGTGACTTGACCATGGCTAGTAAGCACTACAGCCATGACTTGAAGTCAGGGTTTTGACTTTAAGTCCAGGGTTCCTGCTACCATACTCCACCCTTTATAATCCGATCCTCTCAGAACAGATTTCTTAATTCTCTTTCGATGCACTGTTTCCTTACCACACGCACAGTGAAAACATGTTAATGCTCATCAAAGTTCCTTACACTAGTTAAGGGGATTTGTTCTATGAAGTTTGGATTCAGTGAAAGGGCCATACTGGAAGACCTAGGGGGCCACATGTGGCTTTGAGATCACAAGTTCCCCTCCCCTGGGCTAGACTGTGAAACGGCAACTTGGCAGGGCATAAAGTCTGAGTAGAACCTGAAGGAAGGGGTGTGTGCGTGCGTGTGTGTGTGTGTGTGTGTGTGTGTGTGTGCGCGCGTGCGCAAAAACAGTGGAGTGTCAACTTTGTAAAAGATACTGAGTACACTATCAGAGGGAGATCAAAACAACTCAACATGCCCCTTCTTTGATTTCTGGTGCTCACATGAACAGTCAATGATGCCTGTGATACACACATTTCCTTTTTTAACTCTGCCATTCAGAATCCTCATCATGTTTGCACGTTCAGTTCAAGTGAGAGATTTTCCAGCCTTCCTTGATTCCCTCACCTCAGTATTCTCTCCCTCCTGAAATATTCAAGAACACTTTCCATTTCTCTTTTGCCCCTCTCCACCCCGCCACCCTAAACCTTGCATTATACTCATTTGTTATATCCCTTTTTTCCCCCTGCCCCTTAGTAGGATTGTCAGCTCATTATATCACAGATGGTCATTTTTCTTTATAACTTACCAAAATGCCCTGTGCATGGCCTTTGGGACCACACCTGATACCACTGGCACAGGGAACTCCTACTGAGAAACCCCTCTAACCTATGGCACTGGTGCCATAGCTCACCCACAGTCCCACAGCCAGCATGTATTAGATGGAGGACTTGAATGCAGTCTTAGTGATTTCCAGGTTGTCTCTTTAAGCATTAAAGCCACTCTGCACTGCACACAACAGGTACTTAATAAATACAATTCACCAAATATTTATTAAGGGCCTTCGATGTGCCAAAAGCACTAGAGATAGTAGGCACTGCTGTATTTATATCACTTAGCTAAGATGAAATGACTGTCTCCATGAGGCTACAGTCAACTGGGAGATCACAAACACAGGTAAGTATAATATACAATATTATGTGTTAAACATATTATTAGGGGGCACAGAGTAAACGGCTGTATTAAGTGTGAAGCAGAAGGTCCTTGATGGGAAGGAGAGCTGGGAAGGCTTCATGAAGAAAGCTGTGTCTGGGATGAGTGTCAATGGATGAGTAAGAATTCAAGAAGTAAAGTAGGGGAAGAGAAGAGAGAAGTCGGAACAGAACAGAGAGGGCCTGGGGAGAAGTGACATGAGGGGATACAGAGAGACTTCAATGCCCCACAGGGGGTTGGGAGCTTTCCTTAGTGGGCAGTAGGGAGGGAGTAAGAAAAAGAAAAAAAAATTAAGGCTGGCTGTAGGCATGTTTTATTAAGTTTGAAGTGCTGGATCATGAGATGGAGAAATGCTGGAGGCCGATGAAAAACCGACCTGGAGCTCCAAAGGGAGATGTAGACTACAGATACACATTTGGGATTCATCTATGGACTTGGTGGTAGTTAAATGATATTGGTGGGAATGAGACTATAAGGGAGAAAGGTTGAGAAACAAAACAAGAGAGGCAACGACATCTTCAGAACACCCACATTTCAAGGTTGGGAAGAAGATTAAGAACCAGTAAAAGACACAGAAGAAGCATAGTTAGAAAAGCAGGGAAAAAAACAAAACAAAAACACCTCAGTATAAGTGTATTATCTTTGCAGCCAAGGAAAGGAAGAGTATCTGGTGGGCAAGACTGTGTGTAAAAGCCGAAGAGCGGATAACAAAGGAGGGCAGCAGCTCTCAAAGGCCTCTGGGAGCCAGATTAAAGCAGCTGAGGAGGTAGCAAGGGACTAGAGACATAGTACTGAATATACGTTGTATTAGACAACTTTTTCCATGAAGTTCATCAGTGAAAGGCGTGATGATGAAGGGTCAAGGGAAGCCTTTTTTAGAACCAGGAGACTAGCGCATGTTTGTAAGCAGATGGGAAGGAGTCAGTAAAATGAATTAAGCCAATTATTTTCTCTTCACTCACCACATATTTTAGCCTCCTTGAGTAAGAATGTTATAGACTGTTCCTAATATCGCCCATATAAGCTGCCAGGTGTCCATGATTAAAATTATTTTAAGGGTGCATCATAAAGTTGATAATTTTAAAAACCACCTTTAGACTATTTGAATGATGATGATAATACAAGAACAATAATATAATAATAGCTAACATGTACACAGCACTTACCATGTGCTAGGCACTGTGAAGCACGTAACTATAATTATGTCTCATTTAATTCCCACAACAGCCCCGCAAAGTAGGTGCTACTGTCGTCTCCTATCTACAGATGAGGAGAATGAAGCGAACAGATCAGTAACTTGCCCAGGGTCACCCAGCTGGTAAGCATCTGGGGCCACATCTGAACTCGGGTCTGCTTCCTGACTCCAGGCCTGGCATTCCAGCCACACTGTGCCGCCTAGTGGCCGCTACGTATAATGCCTTTTTCTATTTCTTTGCCTAGGAGGTGAAAAAAACACAAGGTGTCTGGAGAACTCCCCCGGAGCCCTTCCAAGGGCACACGAAGCCATGAATTAGCTACGAGGGTTCTAGTCTTTTAACCAGTTATGAATCTATCTAACTCTACTACTGTCGGCTTTGTATCTGTTTTTTTTTCCCACAAGAGCAGTAGGAAACATTTTCAATAGTTAGCCAAAATCTGGGTCAACTCTATCAATAGCATTCCCTTGACTTAACAGTCTAGGGACTCCATTGAAAAAGGAGATAAGTTTAGTCTAGCACGACTCGTTCCTGATAAACTATTCCGGCTCTCTTTGTTACTTAGGGGATGGCTAATACCTAGCTTTTTAAGACGGTCGGATAACTTCCAGGAAAACAGGATGTTAAAAAAATTCTAGATTATATGATGGAGGGTTTTTAAAAGTTCATTTGTTTGTTTGTTTCATTCGCTGCATCTGCATCCTTCACATCTAGGATGGTACCTGGCACACAGTAGGTGCTTAATACATGCTTATAGTTTGTATTTCCTTTTTCTTTAAAAAAATCACTGTGCAATAATTTTAGGCCTGTGTCTCTGATGGATGAAGATATGACAAGGTAAAAAACAAACACAAAATTCAAACCCAAACTGATTTAGGACAGCTGGCCTGGGTGTGGTAGAATTTTAACTGAATTTTAACAACTGCCTATTCATTTTTAGATGCTTAGACACACAATGTGTGTCACTGCAAAATAGTCCCTTGGGTTTTCTAATGATCATAAAACAGATGACATGCATATCTGTTCCAAAAAATAAAGTATGAACCAAAACACGGGCTTTTGAAATGCCATTTCAGTTTTTCTGTGTCAAAAAGTAATTAGCTAGAACCCTATGCCTAGCACATTGCCTTCAAGCCATTCTTTCTATCCCAAGGAGATAGAACAATAATTCAGAAGGATAAAAATAAGGACAAATTTTATTTCATTGATCCACTAAAAATTTCAGGCTGATGTCCCTGTCTCATATATCATAATCTTTATATCCATGACCTAAGTGTTTCATTTTTACTAGTTCTCTCTGCATTACTGCCAAACAAACTTTTATTAGCTATCAAGATACATTATCTACTCCACTTTTCACACAAAGAGTATCACAGATAATAGCTGAGGTTAGCTGAATGCTAAAGAAAAAAATTCCATATAGGACTTTCATATTTTCATTTTAAATAATTCTACAAAAATCACAGAAAAATTATAGTGAGACTCTTCCTCCTATCTTTTTGATTTAATAGATATTTATATATGTGAAGATATTTAGGTAAGTCAGAACAAGTCTCCATTATCTGTTTTCTACCTGAATTTGTCTTTTTGTATCAATAGCTATAATTTTATTACTGAAGGGATACACTGACAGTAATTGTAGGTAGTATGTCATTCTGACAAGTAAGTAGCACCACAGAAAAAAATCCCGCCCTGAAGAAGCGCCTTCCTCTGGATAAGATACTTTCCTCAGGTCCTGTGGAGGAATGAAGAATCTTAAATTACACTAGCATGCTCACTCAGAAATAGCCTCAACTCCACCAATAATGCCCTGGAGAGAAAGGATGTGATATTCTTCCACGTTCTACTCTCGCACATCATCTTACTTTTAGTTTTACTTTACTTTCTTCATTTACTCACGTAAAATGAGTGACTGAACTAGAGGGTCTCTTAGGAAAGTTTCTCGAGCTCTAAAATTCTGAGTCCAGTGAATGGGGAACCTATGGGAATTCTATCTGAAGGATGTGAGTGTGTTTTAACTGTCATTGCATTTTAATGACTAATGGGATAGTCAGACAATAATTATAGGAACAGAAACCAGCCTGGGAAGAGTAATGATTAAGCCAGAGATGTTACAGACTTCCGTGGTGGCAGAGAGCATTCATTATCCGTGAATCCAGTCACTGAGAATGACAATGAACTACTGCAGGGGTTAACATTTCTTTAGCATTTAAGGAATTAATGCTGTGTCAGAACACACGCTATGGTCTAGTGAGAGATCACAATGGTTGTAGACAGTCATCGGTCACAAAGGAGACGGAGATCTCTCATTTGTGACCATGTAATTCTTTGGCAACTCCATGTTCATATGATGGCATATTATAAATTCCGGGGAGGGTGGAAAGGATGGAGAAGAAGTATAATTAGTGGCCCATGACTGCTCCTAAAATTCCAAATTAGTCTTATTCCTTTACTACTGACTACAAATCATTCAAGAGGGATTTCCTACACTGAGAACAGAATTTGGGGGTTGACCTCAAGTCTTTTAGACTTCAAAACAGGATATTGGCAATGAATCTGGGGTTCAACCTTTCCTGGTTCTGAGAACCTCTAAACATAACAAAATGAGAGACTCATATTTTTATCCCAGATCAAACTATATGACTTCCCTTGGTACTCCTTTGTAAATGTTTTTGATGACCTTTCACACTCCACTGTATTTACTAATGTGCATCTTCTCTTCCTCCACCACACTGTAAACTATTTTAGGGGCAGCAGGGACCACATATAATTCACCTTTGTATTCTCCTTAGTACCTAGCACAGTTCCTTGCAAATAGCAAGTACTCAATAAATATTTGTTGAATTGGATTCTTATTTATTGTAGTTATGTAATTTAATGTAACTAATGCAATATAATTTTTAAACCTAACTCCAAAAACACTGGTTTGAAATCAGCTATGTGTACTTGTAGCTATTAATTTTAACAATGGATTTAGTTCCATGGGATTCAACATAGGAACTGAATTTTTTCCACAACTATTGCAAAAGTAATATTGAAACTTCAAATCCAAATTATTTTCATTAAAAGCACCTAAAGGGAAAACTCAAACAAACCAAATCCACAATGACTATGGCAGATCCTCATGACAGTAAAGAGTTCACCTTTCATTACCTGAGTCAAGTAATAATCCAAATACATCTGTAAACTGTAGTTAACTGTTTTGATAAAATCCTAATAAATATAAACCTTTAAGATATTAAATGAAATTTTGAAAATAGGCCCTTCAACATGAAAAAGAATGCCAAGTTGCTTCATTTAATTACCATGAGTACTGGAAACAGACTAGAAATTATTCTGGTTGTAGTTCTAGGTAGATAATACAAAAATAAATTGCTCCATTTAAAATTCAATTCTCTTCAATAGGGATTGTCTAAAATGTTCAAAGCACTGTACTATGGACTGAGAATACTGAGACAGAAACCAAAATACTCCTGGCCCCAAAAGAACTAAGTCCTACAAGGAGGAATTTAAAATTAAGTGGTGGCCACTGGACCCAAGGTGGTTTGGGAAAAGTTGGAAATAATACTAGCATTTGAGTTTTACATAGTGGTTAACGATAAAAAAACATGTTTACATACTCTATCTCAGTGGATCTTCACAAGAGCCTTGGGAGGTAGATGGGTTAAGTATTATCATCTCCATTTTTACAAGTGATTAAACTGAGACCCAGAGAGGTTAGTGACTTGCCCAACCTCACAAAGCTAACTGAATGGCAGCACCAGGCCTGTATCCAGTGCTTCTGATTTCAAAGCCAATGTTCCTTCCAATAAACATCACTAGAATACATACTATCCTTGCTCCTACTCAATAAAATCCAGTGTTTTCCTGTTATTCCAGAGTCAAATATAAAATCCTCCCTTTGGCCTTCAAAGCCCTTCCTAAAGTCCACCCCTACCTTTCCAGCCTTGTTTGAGTTTTCCCTTTAGGTGCTTTTAATGAAAGTAATTTGGATTTGAGGTTTCAATATTACTTTTGCAATAGTTGTGGAAAAAATTCAGTTCCTATCTTGAATCCCGTGGAACTAAATCCATTGTTAAAATTGACAAAAATTGAAACCATTCCCTGAAAGGTCCCTCACATCAGCCAGGTGCCTCCTGCCACCATCTCCTCCTTTACTCTCTCTCACACATTGAGACGGTCTCTGTCTGTGCGAAGTTAATCTCTCTAGATGCATGTGATCTCATTCCCTCGTCTTCACCAACAGTTTGCCTCCTTTATCATTCCACCCTCTCAGTGCTCTTGAGTCTGTCCCTACTACTCACTCCTTGAGAAGGCCATCTACAATAGATGCCTCCTCTTTCTTCTCACTCTTTTCTTCACTCTATGTCTGCTGCTGTATTTATTGTATTTATTGTGTACATACTAATTTATAGATGTTATCTCCCTCATTAGAATATAATTGATTGACTGCTTTAGGATCTTCTATTAATTCATGTGTGGTCTTAGGCAAGTCACTTAAGCTCTCTGGGCCTCAGCTGCCTCATATACAAAATAAGGGACTTGAATTCAAATTCTGTAAGGATAAAAAGTATTCTTGAATGTCTTACCCTGGCATCATATTCAAGAACGAAGGGTGGAAAGTCAATCTGTTCCGGGGATATGGCAGCAAATAGCTGGTGGAGGCTGTCCACATGGTGGATTTTGTCCTTTAGTCCTGAGACAGAAAAGGTGGTGAAAAACCATGTTGATACCTATTTGATAGAAAAGAGAAAAATAAATAAATTGGTAACACGGCTTTTTCTTTAAGAACATCAGGTAAAATCAATCATAACCAAGATGAAAATTTCTGAAAGATGAAACAGAACAGATTTTTAAAACTGTACCTAGGAAAGTAAGGTTTAAAAAAAAATGCGTGTGAATAAAGACCACTAAAATTGAGGATATTAGAACTGAGCCAAGGAGAGGTAACTATAATTAGCCAGTTAACAAGCATTTATTAAACACTTACGATATACCAGGATCTGTGCTAAACAATGGGGATACAAAGAAAGGCAAAAACATGGGCCCTGCTCTCAAAGATCTCAAATTATGATGGGGGAAACATGAAAATATCCATGTATATACAAGATATATGCAAAGGAAGTGGAAGATGATCTTAGAGGAAGGGAAATAAAAGTGCTGGAGGGAGGGTCTGGGAAGGCCTTCTCCAAAAGGGGATTTGAAATGAGTCTTGAAGGAAGTAAAGGAGAATAGGAATTGGAGATGAGGAGAAATGAGGTGGGAGGGCATTCCAGGCATTGGGTACAGCCAGAGAAAATGTACAGTCAAGAGACAGAGTCCCAACTTTGGATGTAATTAGTAGTGTCTCTGATCTTCTATGCAACCCTAAACAAAAATCACTTTACCTGTGGGTGTATCAGGTAAGCCCATTTGACAGATGGATAGAACATAGTTTTTTTTTTAAACACTGTTAAAATTACTTTAAATTTGGGGTGCATAGTTGTTCTTTGAATTTACATTGTTCTGTTGATCTCTCTATTTTTTAAACGATACCAGATGGTTTTGAAAACTGCTCCTTATAATATAGTTGAAGTCAGGAAGTGCTACTCCTCCCTTTTCCTTGTTTCTTTTCTTTTTAAAATATATTTTAAATTATTTTGTTAAATATTTCCCAAATACATTTCAAAAATTTTTAACATTTATAAAAATTCTGAGTTCTAAATTCTCTCCCTCCCCCACCCCTTGAGAAGGCAAGCAATATGATATTGATTATACAAAATATATGTCCATATCAGCCATGCTGCAAAAGAAAACACACATTTACATGAACAAAAAGAATAAAGCAAGTGAAAAAAGAATGCTTCAATCTGCACTTAGAGTTCATCAGTTCTCTCTTTGGAGGTGGAGAGCATTTTTCAGCATGAGTCTTTTGATGGGCAGCTCCTCAATTTCCAAGTCTTTGTCACCACAAAATGAGCTGCTATAAATATTTTTGCACTAACAGGTCCTTTTCCCTTTATCTCTTTGGAATACAGACCTAGCAGTGAGTGGTACTGCTGGGTCAAAGTATGCACAGTTTTATAGCCTTTTGGACATAGCTCCAAATTATTCTCCAAAACAGTTGAACCAGTTTACAACTCTACCACAAGTGCAGTAGTGTCCCTATTGTTCCACATCTCCTCCAGCATTTGTCGTTTTCCCTTTTTGTCATGTTAGCCAATCTGATTGGTGTGAGGTGGTACCTCAGAGTCACTTTTATTTGCATTTCTCTACTTATTACTGATTTAGAGCATTTTTTCACATGACTATTGATAGCTTTGATTTCTTTTTCTGAAAACTGCTTGTTCATGTCCTTTGACTATTATCAACTGGGAAACGGCTCTTATTTTTATAAATGTGGCTCAGTTCCCTATATATTTGAGAAATGAGACCTTCATCAGAGAAACTGAAAGTCCCCCCACCCCATCCCAAGTTTCCTGCTTTCCTTCTAATTTTGACTACGTTACTTTTGTCTGTGCAAAATCTTTTAAATTTTGTGTAATCAAAATTATCCATTTTACTTCTCATAATCCTCTCTATCTCTTGATCGTCATAACTCTTCCCTTATACCTAGATCTGACAGGTATTTTCCCATGCTCCCCTATTTTTTCTTATGATATCACCCTTTATGTCTAAATCATGTATCCATTTTGACCTTATCTTGGTATATAGTGTGAGATGTTGATCTACTAGTTTCTACTCAACTGCTTCTCAGTTTTCTTAGCAGTTTTTGTCAGAAATCAGGTTCTTGCCCCCAAAACTTAGATCTTTGGGTTTATCAAACACTAAATCACTGTGGTCATTTACTACTGTATATTGTGTACTTATTCTATTCCACTGACCCACCATTCTACTTCTTAGCCAGCATCAGATTACCTTCAAGATTACTGCTTTATAATATAGTTTGAAATCTAGTATTGGTAGGCCACTTTCTTTCATTTTTTCCCCCTCTTCCACATTTTTCTTGATCTTTTGTTCTTCTAGATGAATTTTGTTATGATTTCTTTCTAGCTCTATAAAATAATTCTTTGGTAGTTTGATTGGTAGGGCACTGAATAAGCAAATTAATTTAGGTAGAATTGTCATTTTTATTATGTTGGTTTAGCTCACTCATAAGCAATCAATATTTCTCCGGTTATTTAGATCTGTCTTTATTTGTGTGAAAAGTGTTTTATGTTTGTGTTCATATAGACTCCAGGTTTGTTTTGGCAAGTAGAATCCCAAGTATTTTACCTTGTCTGCAGTTCTTTTAAATGGAATCTTTTTACCTTTTCCTGCTGGGTTTTCTTGGTAATATAGAGAAATGCTGCTGATTTCTGTGGGTTTATTTTATATCCTTCTAACTTTGCTTACGTTGTTCATTATTTCAGCTAGTCTTTTAGTCAATTCTCTAGGATCCTCCAAGTTTACCATCACATCATCTGCAAAGTGGTAGTTTTGTTTCCTCATTGCCTATTCTTATTCCTTCAATTTATTTTTCCTGTGTTATTGGTATAGTTAGCACTTCTAATACAATGGATATCCTTGCTTCACCCCTGATCTTACTAGGAAGGCTTCTAGTTTATTCCCATTACAGACAATGCTTACTCTTGGATTTAGGCAGATAAAAGTTATCATTTTAAGAATGGTTCTCTTTATTCCCATGCTTTCTCATGTTTTTGACAGGAATGTGTGTTATATTTTGTCAAAAGCCTTTTCAGGCTACTAATGTAGTCCTATGACTTCTGTTCTTGTTGTTACTGACATAGTCAATTATGCTTATAGTTTTCCTAATACTGAACCAGCCATGCCTCTGTGGTATAAGTCCTACCTGGTTAGAGTGTAGGATCTTTGTGATACACGTTGCTATAATCTCCTTGTTAGTATTTTATTAAAATTTTTACACCGATATTCAATAGGAAAATTGGTCTGCAATATTGTTTTTCTTCTTTTCCTCTCTGCGGTTTAGGTATCAAAACCAATTATTTGAGTCACAAAAAGAATTTGGTAGGATTCCTTCTTTACCTATTTTTAAAAAATAATTTATATAGTATTAAGATTCATTGTTTCTTAAATATTTGGTAGGATTCACTTGTAAATCCATCTGGTTGACAGGACACACTTTCAAATAGTTATATGGTATTTTATTCATATAACATCACTTTATTAATATAAATGTTTTTCTATGATGGCTTAATTTCTTTTCATTAAGCTTAAAATGTTATTCTTTGAATAAGTGTATCTTAACAGAAAAAAGTTTACTTCTGCTCTTCACACATTGATGTATAAAAATGTTATAGTTATAAGTAAAATGGCCCATTCCTCTTCCACCAGGAGCTGCTGGAATTTTCAGCCAGCCAGGCTTTCCATAACACAACAGGGGGGTACTGTGTCTGTTGTATCAATGTGCTAAATGGAGCTCTGGAGTTAGATAGCTCTCATTATCACTTCTTACTTATATCATAACCTTTAGCTTCCTCTCTCCCTATTAATAATACATGTTGCCCCAGGAATCACTTTTTCCCTTTCTGCTACTTCTCAACTTTTTTTTTTCCTTTGGTGAGGCAATTGGAGTTAAGTGACTTGCCCAGGGTCACCCAGCTAATAAGTGTCAAGTGTCTGAGGCCAGATTTGAACTCAGGTCCTCCTGACTCCAAGGCCGATGCTCTAGCCATTGCGTCACCTAGCTGCTCTCCCCCACCCCTTTGTTTTTGACACCTCTGAACTTTCAGTACTTTCTTTTCTCCCCAGTCCAAAGCCATGCCATCTGACTACTTATTTTCTAATCCTTTCATGGTGCCCAGATGGAAATCCCCATTATGAGAGGAAGCAAACTGTCCAATATCCTCAGCCTCTTTTTTTCATTAGGCATTCACTACTTCCACCTCCTTATCTTGCCTAGGTTACACAGGCAATCTATTGCCTTTGGGTTGAAATTTCTTTTGGGGTACAGTTGATTAGAGATTAGAAAAGGAAGAACTAAAATAACAATGTGTTCACTATTTTACTGTCCTTCCTTCTCTTATCTTCTATAATAATTCTGAATTCAGTTAAAAATTCCAGTCTCTGATGAAGTTGGCCCTTTTCACTAAGATTAATCACTCTTCACGTACCTTTCCAGCTACTCAAGCCAATTGCCTCCGCTATCATTTTCCACTCCCTTTTCTCTATCGACTTGTTCCTTTTCAACTACCTACAAACATGCCTAAATGACTCCAACCATTAAAAAACCTTCACTAGATCTTGCAAATTATCATTCTATATCTCTCTAGACAAACTCCTGTGCACCTACTTCCTCTCCTCTCACTCCCTTCTAAGTGTCTGTAGTCTGGCTTCCAACCTCATCATTTAACTGAAGCTGCTGTCTTCAAAGTTACCAATAATGACTGAGTTAGCATGCCTAACGGCCTCTTGTCAACTCTCATCCTTCTTGACCTCTGTAATATTTAACACTAATGACTCCCCTTCCCTCCTGGATACTCCCTACTCTCTGACCTTAGCCACTCCTTGTTCTTTTTCTGTCTGACTGCTCCTTCATATCCTCTGCTATAGATCATTATGCATGTCATGACAACTAACTGTGGGTGTACCCCATGGCTCAGTCCCAGGGCCTCTTTTCTTACTACATGCTTTCACTCGTGGCCCTTATCCTCTTTCCTGGGCTCAAATATCTCTAGGTAGACGACTACCAGATCTACATAGTCAATGATTCCACCTCAGGTATATATTACCC